ATATATATATATATATATATATATATATATATATATATATATGTTGGTATGTATTATTATTGACAAAATATCTAAGCTAAATATATATGCCTGGGATTATTGATACATATTACTTACGATTATAACTGATTTAAAATGTTGAGATAAGTCAGTTTTTGAGCTGTTAAATTAATAATTGGCGTTGTTCCATTGTTTCCAGTGGAACTTGATGGATGATGAAATTTCCACAGCCATTTCCGATTGCTTTAACTGCAGCCAATTGCATTAGGCTCCTTCTTTTTGTGTTAGCCATTCAATATCAGGCTCCTCCTTACAGTTAGCTAATCACATAAGGCACCTTCATAGTGTTAGCCAATTAACATCGAACTATATACTGTAATCATACTTGTACCGATTTTACATTAATATTACGATATTACTGCCAAACTATGGTTCGAACGCTTATCTTGGTGATCTGTACAATTACATTGCTGAGATGCTCATCTACCCGTAAGTGTAGGTTCAGATAGGAAAATAATTATTGACATTATTTGAAAAAATTACATAAATATCTACAGTATTAGGTATATCCTGAAATATTGTGATACAGTTAGGGATCCTAATTCAGTTCGAAAAAGTTTATTCAAATAATGTACTGGCAGTAAAAAAATATCAATTTTATATTTCCAACATCAACATATTATCTCAGTGACAATCTGATCATATTCACTTTTATAGACAGATTAAAGAAAGAAAAAAAAACCATTGAAAAAAAAAGATTTATAAAGGTCACATGCATAAAGAAATAATGATTATGCTTTATTGAGAATAATAAAATTCATTGTACGTATTTGAACCGGGTTGATTCGCAAGTTTTACGTTATGGGAAAAAAAATGTTATAGCCAAACTTCTTGTGTAGGCCTTGGCAGGTACAATATTATATTACCCAACTGTCATCCCAAACACAGGTTTGTCGTCAAGTATTTTAATTTGTAGACTTAAATTATAGCCTAGGTCTAATGTAATTATTCATTACTTAAAATATAACATGCTCAACGAGATGGCATAGCCTGATGATAACGTTAAGATTCGCCTATCCGTAAGAGTGTCCATGTGGTTTTGATCTTTAGTTTCTTTTTTCGTGTCAATAGTCGAGAATGAATGAATGAATTTATGTATTCGACATTTTTTGAGAAGATGGTTCTATTAACAGTGCTGACTTGAAGAGCGCAATCTTCAAAACAATTCAAATGCATATTATATAAAAATCACAAATATACAATGGAACGAAATATGAGAAAATTTAAAATATTTCATAGTTAGGATCATTAAAATTTCAAAAATAATAATATTCCATAGTTAAAATAATTAACACGGAAATTAATATATAACACATTGAAAAGTTAATTAAGTGCTTTAAACTTTAGCAGCTTTAAACTTAAGACAATTCATAATTTAGGCTGTTGGAGACACCTAAATTAAGTATTAAGTAATGAAGACATGACGACAGAGAGTTAAAAGGATGAACAAACAGGTAGAAGAATGAACATTTAAAACAAGACTGAGAATTGATTGACCAGCATTTAAGCACATTTATTTAGATGGGAAAACATCAGGCCAATATCTAAACTTAATCTTACATTTTCAAAGACAATCGAAAAAAAAAACTCTTTGAAAACAATCAATTTCTCATCTGAATACAGTCGTTCACTGATTGAGCATGCAGAATACCAGAAGAGGCTATTCTTAATGACGATTTACCAAAATAATGATAATGCTTGATTTGTCAAGCCAGCTTCCCAATCAGGCATTCCAGAGGAATCGGTCCTTGGACAAGTCCTGTTTCACCTTTGGCTCATGCTCTACACTACATTATCAACATTTTCAATTATGGAAGATAATATTATTAATAGAAGTGAGTTATATTCAAATTAAAACGTAATGATCAGCTGGATCGACTGGTTAACGATCTAAATAAAAAAACGACTATATCGATTAACCTAATCGAACCAGAATTGTTGTTTGGAGTCATGATTGACTACAAGAGTAGGGCTATTCATAATGTAATAAAAACGACAACAGCAATAGTAACAACAATATAAAGATAGATTTTAATCTTTAATACGAATGATCAAATATATTGAACTTTGACATTTAGAGTCATGCAATCGCCCTTTGGGGATAAAAGACGGAATAATATAGCAGCATCAACTGAGTTTGATGAACGTTACCTAGCACATCGTAGACGACTCAGCACTCAAAAAGAAGCCAGTCTGCGTGGTGTAGTAAAAATGGTGGCCGAAAATCAGTTATTCAAGATGACCTAATATCTATATTTAAGGTCACCGAAGTGATAACACAAGGTCGTAGCGACGGTACTCAATGGGTGACGTCATATGAAGTCCTTCACAGTTTGATCGAGACGATTTCAAAAAATCACTGACGATAATGGCAAGTCTGCAGTAAGTTCTGTTAACTTCCCTGTGGGTATAACTAACTGTCTGTCAAGTCCAGAAAATAAATAAGCATCAAACACAAAATGTCCAATACAATAACCAATAATTTATTTGCATAAGCATCACTTTTGAACAATGCTTAAAGTTGACAACATCTAAATCCAAACAAGTGAACAATACCGAACATGAGGCAGAACAAGACATTTGTAAAGTTAAAGTAAAACAGGGGTAGAACGTAACAATTTATTATTTAAATCCTAACGTCTTATTATATTTCATGGTGATTTTATTCACCTGATGTGGCATTGATAAGTTGAGACACAGCAACCCCATCAATCTGGTGCATAAAATGGCACAGCAGGAACTCGGTGCCTAAACATTTACCATACTATATTGACACTTTTTAAGATTTTGAGAAACCAAAATCAGAGCTGACTACCGTAAAACAGTGTAAATTTCCTATGACAAATAAACAATACTCGAATAGGAACTCCATGAAAATAACAAAACATGAGTTCGTTAAAACCGACTATAAAGCATTTGACTTTGTTTTTACAAATTTCTTCAAAGATATAAAAAATTAATATTAGGAAAATATGTACCTCGCTTCAGGCATTAAAATTACGTCATGGCCGTTGGCAAATAGATTGTTGGGTTGATAATGAATAAAATAATAAATAAATATATTTCAATAAATTCTCCCGCAAACGGATCATTTATAATTACATTAAATCAAATTTTATATAGGCCTAGCATTAGAAAATATTTAACATTTAACAGCAAGCTAATAATGTTTATAAAAGTATTTGTATCTGGGGTAAATTTTTTGGGATATATCTCGCAACTACAAACGAACAATATGAACGAGTTAAAGTAGATTTACTTGATTAGAATTAATTATATAAAAACATGTTTCAGAGTCTTGCACTGACCTTCTTGGAATTATTGAAAATGGAGCAATTCCTTCAGAACAACTGACAGCATCCAGTGCATAGAATGACCGTATGCTGCCTTATAAATGGCGACTTAACTACGAGGGCGCATGGGCGGCTGGAAACAACGACCAAAATCCATGGATACAAGCCGACCTAGGTTCCTTGTTGAAGGTAACTGGGGTGATTACACAAGGTCGACATGATAGCCAACAATGGGTGACATCATATGAAGTTCTTCATAGTATTAATATCAAAAATTATACAACAATCATGGAAGCTAGAGGTCAGACTGCAGTAAGTTTCCATTATTTCCCCCAAAAATATGTTTTCATTTTTTCTGCAATAAGCGAATTGACTAACTGATTTGGTTGTATCTGAATCTTCTTATCAACGAGCACATAATAGCAAGAGGACCGACTGTTGTATGTACACAATGAAACGAAACAAAAACACTAGCTCGAGATAGAGGCACGACCTATTAGAATTCGAAAATAGCCCCAGCACGCGTTCGATACGAACGACATTTACCTTTTAATATAAAATTGCGTTTCAAAGAAACCCCGGGAGTCGGACCTCTTGCAAATTTATACGCTTGACTA